TCTCTCTCTCTCTCTCTCTCTCTAAACATATTATCCCTTCTTTCTCTCATCCTCCGTCATTCTGTCTTTGCTACTGTTACACCTCTGTGTGTGTTTGTCTTTCTCTATGTTTGTTAAATCTATGTGTCTGAATGCACGTATTTTATGTCTGTCTGTTTGCCGCCCCTACCCCCACCTCCCTCCCCTTTACTTTTCCATTCCATTAACTTAATTGAAAAGAACATCCTACTATAAGCAATATTAACACAACATAGTTTCCCTTCTAATTCAAAAATGAGCGAAGGAATTTGAGAAGGAACACGGTGTTAGGAGACATGACTTTTCGACGATGGCTGACTTTGTGTAGTTGGAGCGAGGTATAAAGAGGAAGGTATAATTTTAAGACCAAACTGCGTATTTTTTTAATAAGAGGCTCAGGCCTTATTGAGATCAAAGCTAACGGAAACGGAACGACACTTGTTTTTTTTAACTTGAGCAAAGGGTCGTTTAGGCGGTTGAAAATCGATCCTTAATGTTTGTCAGGAATTGCTTTCCATTGCCTAATGGAGAGGCTTCATTCGTCTTTTCAGCTCCCAATATAGACCTATTGGGGTTTATTGATTCTTACGTCTGTCAGTGTTTACACAGTTTCAGTCTCATGTCAGCACAACGAAGTGTTTCTCGCGTTGTATGACTCTAACAAATGTACACAGGATTCAATTACTTTTCAGTGGTGAGTCAGGTAATGTGCATTTGTATTATTAAATAAAGTTGGTGTGCATATGAAAGCCAGCATGTCATAATCATAACATAATATTATGAAATTCAATTAGATTTACATATTTCTACACGCACTCATGTGTGCGACACACGCACACACACATACACACACGCAAGCATTTAAGTACCAACCTATCTACCCACACACCCACCCACGTACACACACACATACACAAACACACACGCATACACTCCCACGTACACGCACATACACACACACTCACAAACACACACACACATACACACACACACACACACACACACACATACATAGTTTTCTTTAGTGTTTTAAAGAGTGTTCGAAATGTTTACAATGTTGTTGTTGTTGTTGATGTTGTTGTTGTTGCTGTTGTTGTTGCTTTTGTTTGTTTGTTTGTTTGTTTTACGTGGTGGACGGAGGGTGGTTAATTGCAGTCAAGCCTCTCAAAAATAATAGTTCTTGAGTATGAATGTTTGTTTGATTTTGTAGAGTATAACCCTACAAAAACAGGCTATTACTTATAACAATCAAAGGTGGAAATAAAATTGTCCATAAGAAAAAGACAGACTTAAGCCTCAATTGGATTTGACCTTAAAAAGTGGGGTGAAAAGAACAAGCTACGTATCCAAATGTGATTTGATGACCGTCTCTATATCTAAACTTATTCTACAGGGGTCATTTTATAATTGCCCACATAAGAAATGAGTTCGATCTCCGTGTCGGGACGAAATTGTATTGAGCGTCTCCCTGTGATTGTTCAGATGTTGTATCTATCCTGAGCTCAGGTTGGCAATACCAAGCTAGGCTAAGCAGCCAGCCTCCTAAACGATGAAAAGCGAATATATGGTCACGTTGTTAAACATTGCAATCACATCGTAATTTATTCCTGTTTGCTTTAGAGCACTTATTAAAGTGAAAATGTAACCTTTTCAGAGTACTCTGTTTCTTAATATCATGTACAGCTATGTTATTGGGCGTGGCTAACCATCTCACAGTCAGTACTTGGCTTCAGTATTTTCTACCGTCTGAGTGAAGTCAGAAAGCGTTTCGTCAATGCAGTCATGTAATTGGTTTTGCTTTTGTTTTTTGCATTGTTATCGCGTGGCCATTTATTCACTTCAGCAGATTGTACTCTGATGTTTGTCAAAATGAAAACGATTTGTATGTACTACATATACTATATATATATATATATATATATATATATATATATATATATATATATATATATATATATATATATATACATATATATGTATTTGTGTGTGTGTGTGTGTGTGTGTGTGTGTGTGTGTGTGTGTGTGTGTGTGTATAAAGTCGAGAGGATTCATGAGGGGAAGATGGGGGAAAATGGAGAGATGTAGAGGGATAGGGGGTTGGGGTACGGGTAGCT